CAAAATGATCGAAAACGACCAGACAAGGTTCATCACACAAACTCATGAGGAAATCTCACAAATCAAACGAATAAACGCCCCATCGCAGACTAAAAATCTCACAAGGAACTATATTTGCCTAAATTGTTTCTACAATAGCAACTCAAGTGAAAAAAAAAAAAATGAAACTACCCTTTAAGGCATTATTCTCTCATAAATTGTTCATGAAAACTAAGGAGCTGCTATCTGCGTAACTTTAATATCTGTTCCTGCTCATGAATCAATTGATATCAAAATTTAATATAAGAAAATTGCATTTTTATTTCGATAAATTGTGTTAACTGGTATTTATAGTCGCTATCGATAAATTTGGTCTACCTATGCTCGCTGTTTTGGTCTGTCAGGCCACATGGCAGACAAAAATGATCGAAAACGACCAGACAAGGTGCATCACACAGACTCATGAGGAAATCTCACAAATCAAACGAATAAACGCCTCATCACAGACTAAAAATCTCACAAGGAACTATATTTTTCTAAATAGTTTCTTGCAACCCAAGTGAAAAAAAAAAAAAATGAAACTAGCCTTTAAGGCATTAATTTTCACATAAATTGGTCCTGAAAACTAAGGAGCTGCTTTTTGAATAATTTTAACATTTTAGCTCGAGCATCAATTTTTGTTAATAGTTTATTCACGACGACGAATTTTTATTTTAATAAATTTCATTAAATCCGGTTTATTGATGAAAAATCCCTTATGTGGGCCGATTCGAGTCACGACCCAATTCTCGAAAATGCGTCGGCATTGTGGAAGGCTACACCCCCGAGAGGGATTAAATAAACAAATGTCCTTGCATTGTGTTTAGCTAATTAAACAACGCATGGTAAACGGAAAAATCGACCGAAAGCCGCTTTTCACACGAGTCTTTCAACTGTTATTCCGATGTAATCGTTGTGACGTCTGAGGATTTCTTTTATATCTTTTTCTTTTTCGAGATCTCGAATGGTTTATTATTATTCCGCGGGTGAGCTGGAACGAGACGAGGACAGTGCACAAACGACTGGTCCTTACTTGTGTATATATGGCCTGGCTCCGTCATACCCTATATGGTCGAAAAATCGGCTCGCCACCTGATGACCTCTACATTCGTCATTTGCATTCGACCGAAATCCATTCTCTTTCTCTACTCGTCATCCAAATATAAAATTCCAATTTTTTAAGAAAATGCGCCCTCTAATTCAGTAATGTCCTAACTCAGCGCATTGCAAGTTGTGACGCATGAAATACAGAAAATGTATTTTTCATTTATACCATGTTGTTTTACAATCAAACCTGCAAAGCTACTATTATATTAATAGCTAATACTTTTATTTTATTTTTAATTGACCCATAAGACCAATAAAGACAGTTTTCTTCTGATGGCCCTAGTGTTATTTTGTAGATGATAGCCTCATAGCTACACACCAAGCAGAAATAAATAATTGACAGGACACTTCTAAAGCACCACGTGGTTGTTACTTATGTACCAATATTTACTTAGAAATCGTTAGATGCAGTCTGGTGTGATGTAGGTTTCAGAAAAACATTTTCTTTATCCTGCCAACGTTTCGATCTTTATTGAGATCATCTTCAGGGCCTGGGATTTACAAACATTGTTTAAATTTAACAAATACATGTAGAATGAGGAAAAAAGTGAATTTATACAATGCAAAATATTTTTTTATATTCAATCAAAGTATTTCTACTCACTCAAAGTGTTTATCTTCTGTGTAATTGTGCCATTCTTGCGTGTTGTGTCGAGAGTGCCAGTGAGATTTTGCTATTTTTGCACAAAATCTAAGCAAAATCCTACAGCACTCGCTACCCACCATCTTGAAAACCAACACAATTTCGACTTCAAAAATCCAAAAGTATTACGCTCAGAACAAAACAAACATAAACGTAATTTCTTAGAAATGGTTTATATCAACAGAGATAAACACAGCATCAATTACAGAACAGATACACGTAAACTCAGTCGTAGCTTCAATACAGATAACATACCTATATCATCACATTACATTCCACACATCAAATATTTTTCACGTAGTCTAATTTCCCAACAATTTAGCTTTTCTTTTCCTATTTATCCCTTTCTATATAATCCTGAAAGGATAATCTGGCCGAACCATTACCAACACATTTTTTCTCTTCGTCGGCTCTTTTCACCTCAAAGAAGCCGACGCCTTATACAAAAATGTCTTTTCTATACCGACATCCTTCCCCACCCCTTCAAAATCCAACGTATATAAACACAAAACAGCAAAATCTCACTGGCACTCTCGACACGACAAGCAAGAATGGCACAATTACACAGAAGACAAACAATTTGAGTGAGTAAAAATACTTTGATTGAATATATAAAAAAAAATATATTTTGCATTGTATAAATTCACTTTTCCATATCCAAAATGTAATTGTTATATGTAAACAATGTTTGTAAATCCCAGGACCTGAAGATGATCTCAATAAAGATCGAAACGTTGGCACGATAAAGAAAATGTTGTTCTGAAACCTACATCACACCAGACCGCATGTCACGATTTCTAAATAAATATCGATTAACGGTCACTAATCACCACACACACGCACTTATGTACCAATCTTTCGTTGAAAGACCCCCCCGAATTACATACCTCACTCAATGATGATGACGATGATGGATACGACGAAGTGAAGTTTTTTCTTCCCCTACCTAATACCCCTCTCAGCAATATGGAGATAAAGAAATTAGCAACGCATATCCACATCATCCTCACCAGTTAAAGAGGAGTGATAGGACTATATACTGGTCACTGGAATCTGCGACCATCAACACAACCTAGGTGTATTCAACTATGACCTCATTTGAGGGTTATACAATGAGGAAGGGGAAACACCCATTCGTATCATCTTTGAATGCAAAACAACCCCTCAATGGAAACATAACATGGGATACAAATAAAATCCAGAGAAAAGAAAATTAATGATTTAGTACTCCTTAGTAACAGGATCGGGTGGATTGCGCTGAACTAAGGAGCTAGGAAAGTGCAATAAGTCTGCAGCCCTTGGGGAACAAAACACCCTGACTTCCTAGTATCCATATTCATCATCATCATCTCAGAAATATTTGAGATCCCTACACGAACTCCTACCTTCCTTCAACCATCTCCTAGATCACCAGTTTGGCTTTCATCCTCAACATACCTCAACCCAGCAGGTGTTTCGCGAAGGACCACTTATCTCCCTTCAGCGTAAAAATTCATAATGGTCTTTCTTGAAGCGTTTGATCAAGTATGATACTTGATCTCTACCGAGTTGAGCAAGAATCAGGCTATAATGATTACCCTCTATTAGTGCTTTGGGAGTCATACAGGGAAGTGTGCTAGGGCCAATCCTTTGCCAAAACGATACAGCTGTGCTAACCTCTATCCCGATCCCATAATTTATTGAGGAGCTCCAAGCTCATATCCTGAAAGTAGTAGAATGGAGTAAACACCGCTATATAAAGTTTTATGACAGCAAAAGCACCCCTATATCATTCATCTTTCGAAGCAAAACCCCTCATTTTGCTCATTAATACTCCCATCCTAAGAACAGACTACGTCCCGTACTTTGGGGTCCACCTGGACTAACCTAGAAACAACACACTCACTAAAACGACAGCAATTAAACTTAATTACTCTACTGACTACTATCACGCGAAATCTAAGGTTTCAACACAAAACAAAATGACAATCTACAAAACAATACTAAAACCAAACTGGAAGTACGGACGAGAACTGTGGGGCACCCCTAAACCATCCAACAAAAGCTGAATATATACAATCAAATTGGTTTGTTACAGTAGTTTTTCTGTATATGCAGACATGGCTAAATAAATAAAAGCCGATTTGGTCCAACGGTATAATTCTTTTATCAGTATTGCGAGGCGAACCTAGTTAAATCGGTTCCGTTTTTGGGTTGGCCTAACCTCACTGTTTTGGCCTGTTATTAGATCTAAAGTGGCTAAATCTGGCAGCGAGAAGCCGAAACGAGCTGACAGACCAAAATGGTAGGAAACGACCAAAATAATGATCCGTCATTGCTGCACGGAGGACTCTCAAGAGTTGAGGACAAAAAGCAGCCATGTTATGCCGTATCCATACTGCAATTGATCAATTGATCGTACATTTCAACGAATTGTGATGAAAAAAATTGAAAAATCTCCAATCACCCTGATTCCCCTGTATCTCAAAGATCAGCTATTATATTTCTGAATAGTTAGACAGATCAATATGATTATAATAAATTGATCCTGGATTTTTGTATTTTTCATCTTGGGTGTTTGCAACAATGGCCAATGTAGAGTTCAGAAAGGTTCAATTCCAAGGCAATTCGAAACCCTCACGATCACGATGATTTCACGAAGCACCGAAGCCCCCTAGCGTCATCTTTTAGTCGTTTAATTTTAACTTAATTGAGTTTTAGTTGATGATGGGTGTTGATCTGCGAGTCGGTGCATCATGCTCAACCGACTAGGATCATTTATTGGGTCCGTCTTGACTCGCGGGTTTACTGACTTACTCAAACGCGTTTCGGCATTGTGCTAAGACCACACTCATCGTCACCCAAGACAAACCCAAAAAGTGCTCTATACCGGTTGAGTTACTTAAATTTGATGATTTATAATGTAAATGAAAGAATGTAAAGTATGATAATGAAATGTCAAAACGAATGGCGTCGAATGAGATGTCTCAATATAAAAGGTGTCAAGGAAGACGAAAGGGTTAATTTTTAATTTTCCTCCCGTAAGTGAGAGCAATTGAGGGTAATGTTTATCTCGTATTAATGTAGGTAATGAACCTTCGCAACCGGGTTAACGACGGCCTTCCTACGCCGTGCTTAAATGAAACAATGGGCAAGTTTTGGACGACGTCCTTAAATAAACTGTTTCTTCCTTCCCCCCGCCCGTTTTGCGTCTTTGCCGATAATCGTTAATTCTCTCCTGGTTCTTTTTCAGGAACAAAAAAGATGGAATACAAGACAAGACAGTGGCACGAACAGTGTTTCTGCTGCTGTGTCTGCAAAACGGCCATCGGCACGAAGAGTTTCATACCGAGGGAGCAGGAAATCTACTGTGCTACGTGCTATGAAGAAAAATTCGCTACACGATGTGTTAAATGCAATAAGGTAAGAAAAAAAATTTATAACATTTTTTACTGTAGTAAAGTTATATTTATATTTCACAAAAATTGTAGATACTAATAAAAAAAAAAAGATTTTATAACTCTTTTATAAAATATTCTACTCTTCTAAAAATCTTTGATTTATTCTTGTATTTCAGATTATTACAAGTGGTGGTGTGACATATAGGAAAGAACCATGGCACAGGGAATGTTTCACATGCACACACTGCAACACGTGTCTTTCTGGACAGCGGTTCACTTCCAGAGATGAAAAACCGTACTGTGCCGATTGCTTCGGAGAACTTTTTGCAAAGAGATGCACTTCTTGTTGTAAACCGATTACAGGTGAATTGTTTATTCTTAATCAAGTACTGATTCGGTTTAGATTGTGATAAAATTCCCAAGGGCCGTGCAACCTAGGAATGAATCATCATAAATTTACTCATCGAAGATTACTATTTACAATTTTAGTAATAGAGAATCAATAATATCAAGTATTTTGGGGAGGTGTCGGTGGCCACAGGGGTTATTGCAGTGGTGTTCATATCTGTAAGGTAAAAGTCCCAGGTTCAAACCCAGGAGCCCAGAATTTGAAACCAACAAATGGGCTTTTGTCCACCATCACCCCAGGAGTTGATAAGACATCTGCTGACAAATATAGACACAGGGTGTCCTGTTTAGATGTCTCAGCTGAATTTCTCTTAAACCAATGGTGCTTAAAAAAAAAAAAAAATTATTAAACACATATTTTGTTTCATTTTATATATTTATATAAAAAATAAATTAGACATTTTAGTCAGAAGGGAGGAAAGTTCATAGCTTGAAAGATGTTTTTAAATTTAAAACAAATTGAAACTGTATTAATGGTCAGTAATTGTGGTTTCACCAACTCCAAAATTAGCTGGCAATTTTTTTTGCTGACATTCAACCTAAATTTGCGGTGATGGGCCTAGTTTGGCCATTTCCAAATGTTTTCACTGTCCCTCAGGCTTTGGCTTTTCCTCGTTTATATAAAATGGTGGGTTTCTACCAAAATTGATGAAGACGAGAAGCAAGAACACATTCACCAAGCAGACCAAAATTGTCCAAAACGACTTTATTATTATTATTTTTTTTTTTTTTTTTAATTCATTGAAATGATAATGCTCTGTTTTCCGTAGGCATTGGAGGAACAAGATTCATCTCTTTTGAAGATCGACATTGGCACAATGACTGTTTCGTCTGCGCTTCTTGCAAGTCGTCGCTTGTAGGCAAGGGTTTCATCACCGACGCTGACGACATCGTATGCACCGAATGTGCAAAAGAGAAACTAATGTAAAGCTTAACAGAAAATTATTTTAAAACTGTAGTTGCCAAGCCAACTGCAATTTTTTTTTAAAATGTAACAATTGTATCCAAAATTAAAAAAAGAGCAACATTATTTTTGATTTTGTTGTAATCTTCTGTGATTAGAATCCTGTTTTTATCATAGTCGATCGCTTGAATGTTTTAATTTTCTGCTCTCTTTCTATTTATTTTTCGCCTTCCTTCTATATGTGAAAGTCAAACTTGTAACTCCTCTAATTTTTTTTTGCATTAGTTAATCTGTCAAGAAATGTTTAATCTGTACAGATTTCGGTAACTCAACTGTTAATCACTTGTATTTTATAAACATGTAAACCTTAAAATACATAGAAGCCTTTGTTCAGTTTGTAAAGCGTTAATCATTTCGCTTATTTATAACATGATACGATTCTGACAAAAAAAACCATTGTCAATTTTATCAAAAGTAGCCTTTAAAACACTGCTTTGCATTATGTAATTTATAATGTCGATTGTACATCTTAGCTTTTTGGTAGGAAATATAAGTGATCACAATTTTATTTAAACGATTTTGTGTCATTAAATCGGCCCATTCTGTGTACACCTAGAGCTTTTTAAATTATTAATGTTATAGTCGCAAGTCTGAAATACTAAAATTAGTCTTATCACATCCTCTGCAGGGAGTGTAGCAATGTCAAATGTAAACTTTACATAATTTGCTTCTTTTTTTTACCACTGCATATCTTTGAAATAACAAATACAATGAATTGTAAAATACATTAAACCAGTAGATTTTTTTTTAGTTCTTGAAAATAATGCTTGCTAATTAATATTATCCATCTGAATTAATTACACGGCATAGCATGGTTTATGCTAGATAAGTGGTTGGAAAAGCAAAATTATTTATTTTTATATATAAAAAACTAATAACACTTGGATATCACTTGATTTTAAATACATGACATATTGTAAAAACTTAATTAAAACTTTGTTAATAGTTGACTGAATTATAAGAAAAGTGTATTTATGTATAAAATAAAACTGTGGCCTTACAAATAGGGTGAGTATAAATTAAAGTGACATCCGTTATACTTTGTTAGTATATAGTTACATGTAAAATTTGAAATTTGATTTGTTTAAGTGCCATATATTTTTTTTTTAATTATCAGGGTCTGTGTACCTTAATAAAGTCATTAATTAAGTCATAAATGAAAACGATTATAAAATTCATGTATTATTTCTATAGCAAAATAACAATTATACAAAATAATATTATTGCAATGATAGTATAATATTTCATGCACCTACACCACATAGATTAATTAATTGGCTAATTTAACACGAAAAAAAAGTTAGAATGTCTAAAATGAATTTTTCATAAATTTTCACCTAACTCGCTTTATGCTTTTGCATGAGCACTCGCTTAAGTGTTATTAACAGTTGTTTTAAAATTCAAAAAGTTGTAATTTGGTCGTTGCAGATTATTTTGGTCGACTAGACATCACAAAATGCACCTGACAAAGTGGAAACATCCACAATTTTATTATGTATCATTGTAGAATATACATGCTGAACTGGCACGGGATTTGCATTTCGGCATTACGCCATCACGATACTGAAACATTTGAAATAAGCCAAAAAAAGCCGCCAGTGGAATTACCCTATGCCATTTAAGCATGAGATAACTGTCTTGCAAACCACCAACCATCATTACTGTAGAGCACAGTTAGTATTCATTGTTATACTAGGGAAAAATTCGCCTCACTATTAAAGGAGCATTGGTGCTCACAACAGGGACTTAGCAAACCTCAAAGACTAAACTAATTTCATTTACCAAGAAAAGAAACATAAATTCAAGGCCTATGCTTCTATAGTGAAATGCTGCAGTTAAAAAACCTACTGATAATTAAATTCACTAATTTCGCGGTCCGCTTGACCAATTAATACATTACAATTAATTAAGGTTTTTAGTTGAGATGAAAAAAAGGCAATGGCACAAGCGGGATTCGAACCCACAATCTTCGGAACTCAACTTCCTATCTCAACCCCACCTTCTGAATTTTCTCTCCTTTTAGCCATTTTTCAAATGACGTGTAATCGGGTTGGATTCTCGACAACAAATGAAATGGCCACGGAGAGCTTTAGTGAAGTATACTTCATTTTTAATCATTAAATTCACTAATTTCTTGGTCCGCTTGACCAATTAATATATTACAATTAATTAAGGTTTTTGGTTGAGATAAAAAAGTCAATGGCACGAGCGGGATTCAAACCCACAATCTTCGGCTTGATACGCCGCTGCTCTACCACTTGAGCTATCGTGACCTCGATCCACTCGGACACCAACTTCCCATCTCAACCGCACCTTTTGAATTTTCCCTCCTTNTGAGACTATCAACAAAGGGACTTACCCCAAACGATGCTCGCCACGATCAGTGTCCACAGCATCTCGTCTCGCGACCTCTGACTTGGCTCGATTGGTTGCAACGGCTGGTCCTCGCTGGCTCTGGTTGGCTAAGTCCTCTTGTTGAATCCCAGACGGAGTGTGGCTGCTTCTTTCCCAGTCCTTGGGTTTGACTGCCTGGGGTGAGTCTTGTATCTTGACTGTTGCCTGTTGACTGACTTTTTATTTTCCAGTCATCCCTTTTATACCGGGTCTCTCCCGGAGTAGGGGTGGAAAGAAACTTAAAAGTCAGGGGAGTTCTCACGCCACGGCGGGGCCGACAAAGATGGCGGTCTAGCACAGCGTTGACGTATTCCCAATTTACGATGTCCCCCTTTCTTACCTAGCTGTCTACCTAGGTGCCCCTTCAAAGGACAATCTTTGTCCCTTTTCCTTGTTTACCTATTCTGTTCTTATTTTACAATTTAACTTAATGCTAAGATGGGGGCCGGCTTACAGCTATATTTGGCAGTAATAAGACCCAAAGTATCCTGCAACTCACTAATTGGGTGGACCAAAGCTCAACTAAAGGTTAAGCGGCATACAAAAACTGGAGATTAAACCCCAAAATGACCCTATGGCTACACACCTGCGTATTAAGACCGATGTGACATACGGGACGTTGTGTGGTGGACCAAGACTACAGGCCAAAACAATCAGGTTATGTGGCACCCAAAGACAAGCTTGGGTCAGTGTTACTGGAATGCCAACTGCGGCACTGGAGGTGTTGTTAATGCTTACTCCACTTCATAGTTTAATCCAAGGAGAAGCCACAGGAGCAGCCGATAGGCTCAAAAATGAACGACCATCTGTCAGGATAGGTTGTGTAAATAAATAATGGAAACTTCGGGAGGAGATCCAGGCAGATGCCATATTGGGCAGCCAATTAATGCCACTACTCCAAAATACAATTTTACTAAAAAGTACAAGCTACTGATACCAAAACAGGAAGAATGGGCCAAAGGAACGTAGATCAAGGCAATCTCTTACTGGTACACTGACTGCTCCAAAACCAATAAGGGCATGGGAGCTGGAGTCTTCGGGATGAATCCAAAGACCAAACTGACAGTAACCTAGATAAATATACTACAGCTTTTCAGTCTGAAATCATAGCGATTTAACACTGCACCAAGGAAATAAAAAAGCTAGAAATACATTCCCGGAAGTTAGCCATCTTCTCTGACAGTCATGCAGTACTAAAGCCAGAAGCACACTTACCCGAAGCGAGTAGTGCAATGGTAACAGCTGGCAATGGTAGGGGGTTGATTAACAACCTGAAATTGGCCGGTGAGCTATAAAAACAGGGTAGCACAATAGATCTACTCAGATCGTGGTGCAGAAGGCCTTGTAGCCATCTCTTTTATCCCTTTCCCTAGACAACATACAAAGACTGACAAAAGTATATAAAAACAATCCCGTCAGTAACATTAGAAACACTAAATTCACCAATTTCGTGGTCCGCTTGACCAATTAATATATTACGATTAATTAAGGTTTTTAGTTGAGATAAAAAGTCAATGGCACGAGCGGGATTGGAACCCACGATCTTCGGCTAGATACGCCGCGCTCTACCACTTGAGCTATCGTGACCTCGATCCAATCGGACACCAACTTCCCATCTCAACCCATTTTTTTTTAAATTTTCCATCCTTTTTGCCATTCGTGTTATCAGATTGGATTTTCGGCGACAAATTAAATGGCCACGGAGAGCTTTAGTGAAGTATACTTCATTTAAACTTATTAAATTCCCTAGTTTTCATGGTCCGCTTGGCCATTTAACATCTTTTAATTAATTTGAAAAATGGCAAAAAGTAGGGAAAATTCAAAATGTGGGGTTGAGATGGGAAGTTGGTGTCCGATTGGATCGAGGTCACGATAGCTCAAGTGGTAGAGCAGCGGCGTATCTAGCCGAAGATCGTGGGTTCGAATCCTGTTCGTGCCATTGACTTTTTTATCACAACTAAAAACCTTAATTAATCGTAATTAGAAACACTGCAGAAACTACCTCCATTGGAAATATTTTATACAAGAAGTTAGGAAAAGAATCCTGAAAATATTTAAATTAGCCATGTCATTTTATTTATTTGTTATGTATTGCTCTCAAATAAATTTCTTATGTTTTTAATAATCTAGATATTAAAAATAATGGAATTATTATTTTTGAAAGAAATTAGTTTTATTTTTATTACATTGAATGGATAATCTGGTACAAAAAATAACACCATACATCAACGATCAGACGAAATAAGCTCATTTACTCCCCAGTCTTCATAACTATCATCTGGTAAATACCTAAAAAAACAATTGGCAAAATTTTAGAAGATATCCAAAAAAAATATGTTACAAAATTTAACAACAAATTTATTTGATATATACAAAAACCACCAAAAAGTAAGTCTAAATTGTATAAAGAAGTCTTATTTGTAATGCTGCTTCATGCTGAATATACAATTTAATTATTCATAACATATCAAATCGACAAAAACTATAATTAAAAAAAAAAAGAAAAAAGTATGAGCCAAATATGTGTAGTATTCATTTATTTGTTTTTTCAGGAGACATTTTGTTCAGTTTGTTTATCATTTTCTTTTTTATCCGTACTTACAGTGATTTGCTATTACACGGGTAGACATTAGACACACGACGTCGTTCCATTAAATTTAACTGAATGCCAAATGCTGTTCCACCTGTAAATGTAAAAATTCTATTTTCAACTTGAAAACGGTCTAATTACTCGAACACGGCTTACACAGATCAAAACTTGGCTATTTTCAGTGCACGTGGAAAAGACTATACATTTTTGAAATGGAATGACAAGGGGCACATCTGGGCATAAACCTAGGACGATTAAATACCTCATGAGGTTATTCAGATAGAAAAACCAGAAGTGTCATTTTTGTTTAAGCTTTTTTATATATATATTAAAACAATGCAATTTCTCCTTGGATGTTCAAAGCCCAGTAGTTTAATTTAGCTTTTATTTTCTTGTTAAATTCTATTTAGCTAAGAATTTTTATTTTGAAAGCATAAAAATCATAAGCATGTCCATTGGAATTTTTGCTTTCATTGAAATTATTTTAAAAATAGAAATATCACTCCGGTAAATACAACTGATTTGTTCCATATGAGTTTTGAAGCTTGAAATTTTACTTTTAATAAAAATCACAAAAAAAGCTTAGTTTTTAAATACAAATACATTTAAAACTCTTAGATTCAAATAAGAGTATAACAGATGATTATGTTTTTAATTGTAGAATTTCAGATTTATTGGGTAATAATGAAAATAATTAGAATGCAAGTATTAAAGAAATACACTCTGTTTTGACATTTGTAGCCCCTTAAAAAAAGGAGAAAAAGTTGTTGTAATATTTTAATTTGTGCGTGGTATTGGTTTTGCACCTCCATTTTTAATATTTACTTGCACTTACTTTGTCCGCCTCATGAGGGCACAGTTCTTGGTATATTTGCTGAACCAATGACATCTTTGCACTGAGACCTGCTCCAGGTGGTAGATCTTGGATATCTTCTTCTTCGAGAACGTTTAGAATAACCTTGAAATCCACATCACAATGATTTCCAATGATGCCGCGGACTAAGTTCCCTACTTTTCGATTTACGGACTCGTCGCGTTTGATAATGGAAAGAGACGGTTTCGGCGCTTTGGCCAATGTGATGAGGATAACGCTCATGTTGTCGAAGCTTTTCTTGAAGAGGCAGGTGTCTATCAAGTGATTTACGACATACTCCAAATCGCTTGTTATCGACAGTAAATATCTTACGTAATCGCATACGTCTTCGTTTAACATAACGTCCCAGATCCCGTCGCAGGCTAAGACAAGAAACTCGTCATTTTCCTCGTCTCGTTCTAAGACGTAGACGTCCGGCTCAATGGAAACAAGTTGTCTGGCGGGCGGACGCTTTGAATCGCCTTTGTACTGGTAGTCACCTACGGCACGGGACACAGCCAGACTCCCGTTAAGCCTCTGTAGAACCACCGTACCGCCTGCACTTAAAATCCTTTCCCTTTCAGGAGGGTTTATCGGTTTGTGGTCTACCGTCGAAAAGCACTGAGCCGAAGTTTTACTGAGGATACCTCTAGAGTCTCCGAGATTGGCAATATAAATGTTAGTAGAGTTTATCAAAGCACAGATGGCTGTCGACCCGGCTTTGTCTTCGCCGCTTGAAAACTCCGGCTTTTTCAACAGATCAGAGTCCAGATTCTGAAATCCGGCTATAATCGCTTCCCTTATAGCACCTTCACTGAACTCGGATGTAGCCATGATGCATTTAAGAAGATTTTCTGCACAATAGTGTGAAACGGTGCTGCCACCGTGCCCATCGAATATGCCGAAGAAAGACCAGTTTTCATAGCCCTCTCCGAGTCCGATCTTGCTGAAATGAGCGTCCTCCATTTCAGTCCTCCAGCCTTGCATACTCCCGACTCCGTAACGCAAACTGTTACCCTCACCATGAAAATTTCGTTTGTCGGTAACCGGTTTTTCCAAAAAGTTTCCCATCTATATTTTTGAAATTGAACAATCTCAACTCAAATAAAATGTTTCATATGGGATTTTTTATTAATCATATTATGTACTCACTGGAATTGTGTCATAAAAGCAGCTTATTGTTGTTAAAAATATGTTTCTTTAAAGCCTATAAACAAATTTTTCCCAAGGATTTGTTTTTTCTTTTTCAGGTCTGTTGGTTTAGATACAAATTTAGTTATCGATAAGGGATTTATTTATAAATACTTATTTACAGGAATCTAGAAGTATAAAATAATTGTTAAAAGAAGATTCAGTTGTAAATTTGGATGTTTATCTGTCAGTAACAATCAGTTCGTCAATGCCCCAGTCCTCATAGCTGTTGTCTGGCAAATACCTAGAAAACAGTCGGAAACTTTTAAATACAAAAACGACATAAAAGTGAAAAACATGCATCCATGCCATCCTCCCCGTATGTGACCATACTTACTAATGTTGGATAAAACATGTTCACCAATGGAAATTTTAATATTTTAGGAATACATTTTTATTAACGTTACAATTCACCTGTCTTAATTTTTGAAATTCTAGCATTACACCTGATTTTGATGGGTTTTTCTGTTTTCTAGATGATTTTATATTGCAATTTTGTAAAAAAAAATCCTCTTATAAAAATATAAAAAATAAATTAATTAATTAAAAAACCTACACACATTTTTTCTTTAATTTTGATCCAATTACTTAAATTAAATTATTAAACTGATAGACATATTTTTAAGCATTTACTTATCAAGCTAATTAAATATTTTTTTTTTTTAAAGGGAGTTCTAATATTTCATGTTGGTGAAATTTTAGAATTCACACTGTTCAATCGTATTAACTGACCTGCGGATGATGATTGGAATTTTCCTTTGCTTCAGCTCCTTCTTGGCGATCTCCAAAGGGTCTGTGTCACCTCCGAGTTCCACCATAATCGGTGCACACATTGCTATCTGAAGAGCTCTAGTGCCAAGTACTCTTGCTCTCTCGTACCTAGCCAAAGCCAAATATTTCGATCAAGAGTCATAAAATCAAATTATCTTTTTTAAATTATTTTTTTCACAATCAATAATCGCATGTCTATAAAGAGGAATAGATTGTTTTATCTCTATGCCTATAAAAAATACTTGGTTTTATGACTTCAACACTTAAGTACAAAAGATTTCCGTATGTATTTATATTTTTTCTATTATTAGGTAACAATATTATTATTTTTCTTTCACCTCTTGTTAACAGCTCCATGTGGTTCAGAATGTTCCAAGATAGCTAGAATCTTTGCTTTGTTCATAGCCATCATAATACTAGTGAAATCGCAACAGATTAAAGTTGTACATACATCCTCACAATTTAATGAATAGTTAACATTGTTCGGTCATAGTTTAAAAAAAAAAATCAGTATTGTATCAGCATTGGAGCAGTAGAAAAACTACTCATGATTTAATGACTGATAGATGACTCTATGACATATATCTGGAATAACACCCCTCTCAAATGTCATTTGGCTTACTTCTCCTGGCTGGAATTCCCATTGTGGCTAACTAATGCATGCTGGCTGATAAACTGGCCAAGGAAATTTCAATGAACTATTTGACCCTGAACCCTTCAGTGGCATACCACACTGCCGATGTAGGCCATCAAACAATGGGCTAAGAATAAACTCTTGGTTCAAAGGGGTTGTATTCCAGGTCAGAGGCAAGCAAAAAAGTTCACTAAAGGACCATCGAAGAAACTAATAGAAGAACAACCTAGGACAATAGTAGGACTGCTGACTTTATCTCCTGAGGAAAAAAAAAAAAAAACCACCTGTGCAGATAACACGAAGAACTGAAGGATATACACATGAACCCTTAACAAAGCTTTGGGAACCTGTAATGCTACATCGCATCTTTACATCATTTTATGTATATTCTTTCTTTAATCTAACTTAGTTTTTTTTTTCTCTTAATTCATTAAAGTTGACAAATGTTCAACTTATAGGCTGGCCATATAAACAACACAGTTTATACAAAGTTGCTGGGTAGGACATGTCAACACTGTGAAATACAACAAACTACTTCCTATGCACCTTAACCATTAAACTTAACCAAATTGGACATACTTGGTCATGTATTTCGTCGTTATCCTGTTCGCCTTTTGGACTCCTCCTCCTCGGGCGTCGCCCACGTTGAGAAGTTCGATGTTTTCCCCTTCGTCCTGAAAAAATGTTAAACTTTAGCACAAGAATCTCTCGATATTAACGATCGAACATACTGTGGATCAAAAAAGTATTGGCACACCACACTTTTCCGCAAATCTTAATAGGCTTAATATATTTTCCATACATAATATTTATTTTAAAATTGGTCGTTTTTGAAATTTAATTTAAAACTGGTCGCTCTTTCTCTGTTCACATCAATAAATCAGCATCAGAAAAGATTTCAACGTTTTCTGGTATACCAAGGGTTGTTACCCGGGCCCATATTATTTCTTATTTATTTCGATGAAGATGTAGAATATTCAAGGACTGCAAATTTTCTTTATTGGTGGTAGATTTGGATTAATTAATAGTTATTTAACTTAATTGTTAATTTAAGGGGACTGCTTAATTAATTGGTGTGAGCTGAATCGTCTTCCTTCGAATAGTAAAAAATGCCAGGTAATTAAATTTACTACAAATATCTTTGGTTATTTTGTTGAAGGGTAGAGAATGGAAGAGGTTGACACTTGGTGTCATTTTCAACAAAAAGGGCGATTTCAGTAACCACATCAACAAATTCAAGGTAAGGCTCTATGCAATCTTGGTTTAATTACTAGATTTTCTGGAAATTTTAAAAATGTCCTGACAGTCAAAATATTATATCAATCACTTGTGCGTAGCCAAAATATGCAAGTGTCGTGTGGTCCCCTTTCCATGCTGGTGAGAAAAAGTACAAAGGAAAGCAACCAGGATAATGGCCATCGGATTTGGACTTGCCGATCTGAATTACTTGGAAATTTAGAAGTCTAGGGTCACATAGCTCTGTTGATCCAATTTGGGGCTCAAAAATGTGAAACGGGGCCTTTGATATCCAAAAGTTATATTTATCACTGTGTACAACCACAACGGAGCCATAAATTGTTCTTTGTCCCACATTGCCAAACAGAATATGGACTAAACTCACCTCTACTGAGGATAATGAGACTGCCCAATCATTATCACAACGAAATAGATGCATTTAACGATTCCTTAATCCTTCAGTTAAAGTTAAAGGATTAAAACATATACATGCCAGTAATCCTTAAGCCATGTTTTTTCTTTTTTTCCGAGGGTTCGCAACAGCAGAGATTATATCAACCCTCGGGGTGCCGGTGTTTTTGAAAAAAAAAAAAAAAAAAAAAAATTGTAAGTATGTTGGGCTTTGGTTCGAATACAGGACCGCTGGATTCGAACCCGGGACCTTACCTTACAGTGATGAGTGTCATGTCAATGCCTAAACCGTTGTGGCCACCGACGCCCCCTCATGTGTTGTTGTTATTACTCTTTAAATACTCAATTGCTTTTTTTTTTGTTCTTGCGTGCTTTTTTTACTACTTCTCTTGTAGTTATAATTAACTAAATAAATTAGTAGTACCAAGTTCATAAAATCCGTATACATAAATTAATTATTCAGAAATCGTGAGATGCAGTCTGGTGTGATGTAGGTTTCAGAAAAACATTTTCTTTATCGTGCCAACGTTTCGATCTTTATTGAGATCATCTTCAGGGCCCAAAGTGTTTGTCTTCTGTGTAATTGTGCCATTCTTGCGTGTCATGTTGAGAGTGCCCACGACAAGACAAACACTTGAGACCTGAAGATGATCTCAATAAAGATCGAAACGTTGGCACGATAAGAAAATGTTTTTCTGAAACCTACATCACACCAGACCGCATCTCACGATTTCTGAATAATTATCTATTAACGGTCGCTGTGCCAATACATTTTTGTCTGTGTGAGTGATTTTTTTTTTTAAATTGAAACCGAAAAGAAATGTTAAATGTGCCAAGACTTTTTCGATCCACAGTAAATGAAAATACTTGCCTCCTGCTGGTCGATGTCTTCGAGATCCGCCTCGTCGTCGACTTCTTCGAAGTCTTCGCCAACGCTGATTAAAAATAAAATTAACGATTTAATATCTCAGGCTTATTAACAATCGAACAAATTACTTACTCGTCAGCATCAAAATCGTCATCGCGCATTTTTAACGGTTTAATAAGTAATAAAGTAGACAGAAAAGGACGCGATCAGGTTTTGGAACGTCTTAGGCTTCGGGCCGTCCGCTACGTTGTATGGTTGCTTAATGGTTACAGCCCTTTTTCACAGACTATGACTAGTAGTTGGAAAACGCACCGAGCGCCCTTAGCGAGCGAAGTAAGAAAGTTTAAAGCAGGAATAAAAACTCACATCTGTAATTATTTTATTTATATTAAAGGTACATATAGGGCATTATGCCCCATTAGACGTACTTATATTAGAAATAAATTAATTTTCATAAAGATGACTTTCCATAAAACAAAATATCTTATCAAATTTAACTCCGCTATATCAGACTCGCTTCTAATTAGACGTGAAATTTTAAAAGATCTTGGCATGATTATTGACAGATATAAACTTTCACACACATTAATAAAGCTATTGCTAAAGCAAATAGAACTTCAGGATTTATTACACATCATACTAAACATTTCCATGATCCCAGATACGCTTACAATTTTATGACCAATATTAAATTACTGTTCACCATTTTCAATCCACCGAAATATCAGTCGCATAGAAGTGGTTCAAAAAAGATTTTTACGCTGGATACATTACAGAACAATTGGAGAAAACAAAGATACACCACACTCATCATTAATGTCAGAAATTGATGACTTCTTTACAGAAGGAATTTCTTTGATTGTATGTTATTGTCTAAATCCTTAACTGGTTTCCCATTACTGCTTAACCAAATTAACTTTCATGTTCCAGCTAATCATTCCAGAAGTCAAATAACATTGCCCATAGATTGCCATAGAACTAGTTATGCCAAATTCAGTTTTATACTAAGAACAACAAATTAAACTCGTTCGAAAATTTATATTTAATGTCAGTTTAAACAAATTTTATTATAAGAAAATTAAATATTGTATCATTAATATAATTAATATTGAATTTGATTATAATTAATAATTGATAATTATATAGTATTCATGTTTCTATTCATTCTAATTTTTTTTTGTTTCATTATTATTAAAACTATTTACTAAATTTATGTACAGTACTTACCTTAATACTTTTATTGTATATATTTGGAATTGAGAAACCATAAATAAATAATAATAAAGCATATAATAAAATATACAAAACAATAATGACAGTAATATATTTTTAAATATTAATTATTTATAATCAAATGATGAAACCACATTATGAAAGAAAAGCAGAAAGAAAAAAAAGAGACAGGAAGAAGAAAGAAGAGGGAAGAAAAGGAGACGATCGCCCTATCCCATTCCGCACTGGTGGTGCCAAGTAACCTGAAAGCGGTTCATCTGGTAAATATGAATAATGCAGTCGTGGGATATCTGAGAAGATTTTTCATTTTTCATGCTTGCATTTAGTTCAAAAATCATTAATTGATGGAATTGAATATTTCCGAGCTGACCAATTGTTTGGTCTTAGGCTTCACATAGTCTCTTACTGTGATACTACAGAACAGAAACGTCATCCATCCCAGTAGCAAACATCTAAAAAATATTTCATTTTATCTTCTTGGTTCTTGAAAACAAACAAACGAATAAATAAAATAAAAAAGAAAAGTAAAAATTGTATACCTCCCCAGTTCTATACCTATATGTTCCTCTTGGGATAGGTTCTGGCATGCAAGCATCATCGATAAGTTTAAACCATTAATTACTGTACCTTCTTATAACTTTATTCTTGAATCTTATTTAACAGACTGCTGATACATAGTGAGGTACACCAGTACATAAATATCAGACCAATAAGCCGGCATGGTGCAAGGGGACATATTAGGTTCCATCCTTTATACCATTATAAATCTGACTTTCTTCTACATCCCAATACCATCATCATGATCACCTAGGCCATTGATACCACCATCATTCTAATTCAAATTGCTTCAATTGAAACTTCTAACATTCAAGAACACCTTAAGCTTATCAAAAAGTGGTGGAAGGGCTGAATAAGACTCCGACTCAACTTATATACTTAAGATTATACTTAGACAGCAGCCTGACCTGGAAAATCCACCAATTTGGGCAATTACTAATTCTTAGGAAATGCGACCACTTTGGACATGGAACTGTTGGGTTCTGCCAGCCGAACCATCTATACATCCAGCACATCCGATCCTTCCAGCCACAGGTTCTCAGACAAATTGTCAAAGCACCTTACTTCTTCCCCAACCTCACTATCCACAATGACCTCAACTTCCTTTTGTCAACGAAGAGATCCGATACCGCTTCGGAAACTTCGACACCAAGCTCTTGATCCTTTTAAGCTCCACTGCCAAAGTCCTCCCTAAACTTTCTTGTTCAGAGAACCTCTCACGTACCTTGATCATGATGGGCTGAAACTTCCTCATTAACATTAAATTATTAAACAAAAAAGTCTTTTCTGATTTCCATGGAGTCTGCAGTGCCCTATCAAGAAACTTGTGGTTATTCTGAGATTAAGGTTCATTCTTCTTTCTAACATACAATGATTTATTAAAGGAGATTACATATCATGCCAGAGTGCAATCAGAGTTTTCATTTTCTATTACTTTTTACCTAACCTCCTATTTTAAGATAGACCTTGATGGTATTCTATCTCTTTCTGCAGGATTGTTTTTTGACAGCAGTATGGCATCTCAATTCTTCTTAAGTGTATCTGATTTTTCCTTTCGTTATGTATTCTGTTTAGCATTCCAAACAGGTTTCACAATATTCACCACCTTGATGTGTTGGTTATATGACTCTCTACTTTTGGCGTCTATTTGTATCTTTTGTTCAAATTTAATAATCACTTGCAAAATAATTGTTCGGTATGTTTTTCTGACCTTTTTGAGTTGTTGGTACATCAGTGTACATTACAAAAAGAGATTTTCCCCCATTCACGTAAGTTAATAATATTAAACATTTTCAATGTAGATCTGGCAATTAAATTAAGTTTCAACACTGGATTTATTTATCAGAAAATTACCTTTATTCACGCCCAGTTTATATAGCAACAACAAGGCAACAACCATCCCTAACCACTTTTAGAACTAAATATTAAAAAATGAGTGTTCTTTATTATTCTTTTTTCTTATTTATCCCCCCCCCCTGTAAAAAGGAGGGTTATTTGCTTGTAACGTTATTCATCTATTAGTACTCTGTGTTTTGCCACACCCTTTCTCTGTCAGTAATTATTTTCAAAGACGGTCACGCATAAACTCGAATAATTTCTCAACATGCAATCTGAGGAGTATTCAGCAGAAAGTTCTTTTTGCGTTCTCAGTTGAAATAATGGTGCTTGTTACATAAGAAAATGTTTAGGGATGGCTAGTGCAAGCCGCAACTCACATGCAATATCAAAACAGCGAACAAAGAAAAACACGACTCAAGCAACGTCGAAAAACATCAAAAAACTGAAGCACAAACTAGAAAACAAAACTTAATCATTAGACAAAATTAACGTCACCGCAAATTATAACAAAACCAGACGACATTGACCAAACTGACTGTTTGTCAAAAAACCTATGGAGTTATCTCAACGAAGTGGAAGAATCGGTGATATTGAACTTTGAAGCACCGAAAGCGATTATATGCGCTCTCTAAGTTGGCTGAGGGTTACAATGTTGACATCTGATTTACTCCCAATTTGTTTACGAGGGTATTTCAACTACGAGATTATTTGAACCCTCAGGGTGCCGGTGTTTTTGAAAAAAAGCCCATTTGTATGTCGGGTTCGAATGCAGGGCCGCTGGATTGGAACCCTGGACCTTTACCTTACAGTGATGAGCGCCGTGTCAACGCCGAAATCGTTTCGGCCGCTGAAATCCCTGTAAAAACTTACACTTTAATAAGACTAACGAAAACCCCTACAAACAAAGTCCAAAAAAAAAACCTCAGCCACCATTAACACGTGGCCATAAACCCAAGAGAGGCTACACTAACAAGAATGCACTAACATAAACCTACAAAAACAAAAATTCACATCACTTCCCAAAATACATACCTACAGATCATAAACTACACATCAGCCCCAACCTTCCAAACCAAACCTGAAAGGCAACACACCCTCTCTAAAAAATTCAATAGGCCTGATTAACAAATTAAAGACATTCAAATTACAACTACCACTATAATATCGTTTGGCATAACAGCAAATAATACAGACGACGACGACAAAAAGGAGAAAACAACAGATAAATACGCATATCAAAAGATGGATAAGGAATGGGTAATTTCAGACATACTCGCAGAAGTGTTGGTACGACATTTTTGAAGAAATACTTCCCCGAAATTATATACAGATAGGATGTTCTACACTATAGTATATTCACTAATTCCGTGGTCCGCTTGACCAATTAATATATTACAATTAATTAAGGTTTTTAGTTGAGATGAAAAAAGTGGCAAAAGGAGGGAAAACTCATAAGGTGGGGTTGAAGTGGGGAGTTGATGTCCGAGTGGATCGAGGTCACGATAGCTCAGGTGGTAGAGCAGCGGCGTATCTAGCCGAAGGTCGTGGGTTCGAATCCCGCTCGTGCCATTAACTTTTTTTCATCTCAACTAAAAACCTTAATTAATTGTACTATAGTATATGTCCACAACTACAACAGCATAAAAATAATTCCGACAACCCCACTCTTCTTACATACTGTTCACGGTAGAACGCAATAACATAATAAATTTCCAGGGCCTAACAAAAATACTAAAATTGACAAAAAAAAAAAAAAATCCAATTCGACATATACAGAAAACCATAGGGACCGATCCAAACCACATCCACAACACAAACGCATAAACATGACAGACAGGATAAAAACAGTTCTACTGGCTAAAGAGAAATACAAAAACGAATTGAAAATAGTGCACAATAACGACAATAACCTAACCTCGATCAACAAAATAAACAAAACGTACGCACAAAAATTCCCATAAATCACATACTCATGCGTAGAGAAAGAAACGTACAAGCTGGCAAAACAATTGAATAAATTGGGAATTTAAAAACCACTGAAGACCACGAATACGACTGAGAAAACTACTAAGACAAAACACAAAACCATCCCATTTGACAACATGCTAAAATCAAAACAAAGACAATGTCAAAATCAATCGTCAAACCACGAACTATGGTACCATGCAGACAAACATGAAACTACTACAGGGAAAGGACGAAAAAATTAATATACACGAAAACATGTTAGTACACAAACGTATTACATTTAACAATAAAAAACTCATGAAGAGCACACATTAAGCATACGTTTTTGGTGATTACTTGTGGATGCCAAGTTGACTACTAGGTCCACTAGGTGACACCGCAGCTTCAACAATCGTCTCAGGTTCCAAGTCGTAACTAACGGGATTGCAGTAGCTCTGTATTTAAGCAGGGCCTCAACTCCCAATGTAGCAAGCTGTCAGCACTAGCTACAGCAACAAGGGTACTCACAGGCCCTTCGCTCACTACCGGCTCTCGCTACAACATTAACATCAGTCCACTGATTTTGACTATCGCCTCCATCCATACCTTTCTCAGGGCCACGTGGCTCTATATCGGCCACTGCCCTCTTAACTATCACCCGAAGAAGATGGGCGACGGAAACTTGCTTACACTCTCTTGAAGAACCAGAGGCATCATTACATATTTGCGTAAAGAGATAAAAAAAAGTATTGGTTGGCGGTCGTCATATCTCAAAATTCTATGCTTGGAATGCTGAAGAAGGGCTTTATAGCCTTTTTTTCCCCCATCCCCCCCCCGCCGTACCTAAGGGAGACCCCATACCGGCGGACCACGGCCACTAAACTAATTCAAATGGGATGCAAGTTTAGGGGATCTTATTGTGCTTAACTCTTCCTTCGACCTTGCCCTGAAAGGGAAGACCCAAGGAAGAAGGGAATTTTTTTTATTATTAATTTATCTAATTTAATAGGTCTCCCCCTTGCTGGTTAATCCTTTTGAACACACTTTCTAATAAATACAATATTTGAATAAATAAATAACAATTATGGGTACAAGGAGTAACCAGCCCGGAATTAAAAATTCAGGGAAACGTTAAGATTAACAAGTAACATCATAGGAAGAAAAAGAAGAAAAAAGAAAAAACTAATCAGGTACTTTGTCCACTATAGCTCGGCTAACAGGCTTGAGGACCTCAAACGTCCTCTTTTCTTTAATCAGTTCGTTGAGGGTCGGTGGCCAAGTGTGGCGGAAGAGGAGCTTTAGTGGTTCCCTCACACTCTCAAGGAGGGGGCAGTTGAACAGTCTGTGTTGGACACTGTCATCAACTCCGCAGTCGGGACACAGTGGACTGTTAGCTCTACGGAATCGGCGCAAGTAAGCGTTGAAATTTCCGTGACCTGTCATTATTTGTGTGATCCAGTAATCTTGTTGAAACCACTTTGCTTTTGCTCGGTCCTCAATACTGGGTAGAAACTCGTGGGTTAGCTTTCCCTTGGTGCTTCTGTCCCATCTTTCCTGCCACAAGTTGTCTATCCAAACTGTAAGGATCTCCCGGATCTGCTTTCTAGGTGCAGTTCGTAGCCTTTCCCTATCTGACGCATACAAATTTACCATTGTTGGCTCCTTTCCATCTCTTAGCTGCCGGATTGCAATTTTACTGTGGAGGACAATGTCTATTGGTGCAGCGGAAGCAAGGACTTGGAGGGCGTGAGTAGGGGGGCTTTATAGCCCGAAACATCCATCCCTAAACTACCACGGAATGCATGGTTTCTTTCAACCTTAATACCCAATATTGTATGCACATTTACATGTCTGGCGTGATTGATTTGAACGCCCAACATCTAGTGAAAGTGGCCTTAATTGCCCACTATGGCGTGAAGTCAACAGCAGTCCCTAGAGTTGCCTAGTTGCACAATAAGATGGTGGCGAGTCTACCTGCACTACAGTCTTCAATGTGGGTTGGAATGAAAGATAGGCTTGCGAATTAACAGGACATAAGAGGATAGTTTGGAATGAAATTTATTGTAGCAGGAATGGACCAGGTTTGGGATGTAGTGTATGTTGAGACCGGAGTAGATAGTACGATTGGTGGTGTAGAATAGAGCATCAACTATTTCAACTATTGCCCAAAGGATTTTAGATTTTGTTAAGATTGAAGCGCTTGACTGCTCTGTTCAGTTCAAGTCTGTAGGTACAAATTGGGGTGATTAGATAGTTTTTAATAGTTTTTTGTTAAGTAATATCAGTTTAGACCTTTTTTCAAGTATCTCTTCAGCATTTTATATCTAAGGTTACAGACAATTAATTAATCTTTGTGTAAGGTATTGGTTGAAATGAAAAAGTTAGTGTCACGAACGGGATTCGAACCCACGACCTTCGGCTAAATACGCCGCTGCCCAACCAATTAAGCTATCGTGACTTCGATCCACTCCGACACCAACTCTTGAAAAATGGCAAAAAGGAGGGAAAATTCGAGAGGTAGGTTGAAGTGGGATGTTGGTGTCCGAGTGGATCGAAGTCACAATAGCTCAAGTGGTAGAGCCGCGGCAGGTCGTGGGTTCGAATCCCGCTCGTGACACTAGCTTTTTCATTTCAACCAATACCTTACATAAAGATTAATTAATTTAAAGAAGTTATTTGGTCAATCGGACCAAGAAATATAACGGTTACAGACAACATAGTCATGTTTTCGGATTCCAAGTAAGTTTTTTTTTTCATTCGCTGTATGTTGTAAACCATTCGGCCATATTTCGCTATCAGAGAAAATTTCAAAAACATTGCAATTTTGCTACCAACAACAAAGATCGAATCGAATTTTAAGCTGTATGCCGCCGAGGCGTCCATTTTCAAAATAACCAACAACTGTGAAAGTTAAGTTCTATTCCCTGGTAGGACTTTTAAGTATTCTAGTTCCCATTAACATTTTGGTTTTGGGGCACTTTCTGTTTTTATATAGAATTAAAATCTGCAGTTGGGACATTGCACTCACTGGCACATTGGTACTGCCACCAATGTACGGATATATTGAAGGCATTGGATGAAGTAGGTAGAAAGGTCATGTTTAAAATTTGATAAGTATTTCTTATTGCTGTTATTAGAGCTCGGCTTAGAAGTAGAAGTTCTGCATTGTATATTTATTAAGCTTGCCGAAGTTCTGTGAGTGTCTGCGTGTTGCACCACATAACCAGTGAAGATGGTAAAAACTCGCCGAAAATCGCGCAAGTTCCCCAAATGGACAAAAAATCCGCTTTTTCCCGTCCGACCCGGCGAAGAGAAGAGATTGCGAAGAAGAGGAGAGAGAAGGGGTTGCCGTGTGGCTCCTCCCGCGGTGGAAGAGTCGAGGGAATGCGCGCTAGGCGGGAAGAGAGCCGTCAGTCCTCCGTTGGCTTTTTATAATGAAAGGTGTCTCTCCGCGTGTGAAGTGTATTTAGTGTCTGTGTTTCCAGTGTCACCCGAACACGAGACTCACGACGGCCCGGAGGCGGCTTTGTGACGACTGGTAAGTCTGGCGGACTTCTTCCACGGCTGCGCACTTCGCCCTCTTCACCACCCTTCAGACACTGTTAATATATTTGAAAATTTGTGTTTTTTAAAATAAATTAACACAATCAGCGTTGCTAACCGACGCAATACCGTCCTAGGTAATTTTTCTTTCAATTAATATTCTATTCTATTGATCTTCGGCCTAAAAATAAATCAGGGATTTTTTCAGGGATATAATTATAATTTTGTAGGCTGATCATTATTTAAATTGGAAACAAAGTTTTAAAGCAAAACCGAGAAAAGTATCATGTCCCCTGATGGTTAACGTCCATGCCCCATGTCATTTTATTGTGCATTAACATATTTTTCGTATGTAGTTGTAAAATAAAACAAAAAAATTACACGTCTTCTGACGAAGTAACGCAAAGTACAGCTTACTTCAAACCGTCTGTGGGACATCAAAATTGGTTTTGTAACAAGCCTTCAAGGTTAAAAACTTATGAGTAAGGACAATACATATACTATGTGTCAACATACTAGTGTCCTCTGGTTTAGCATAAGTTATACTTTCCAAAATTGGAATAATTTCAGTTTTTTTAATTAAAGTTACAAGTTATTTAAAAAAATATAAAATATACTGACGACACTATGAATTTTATTCATTTTCAGGGATAGAAAAGTAATGTACAAGGTAATGACTTTCTAGTGCCCCACCTGGTTTTTCTAAAAAATCGCACAACCAAAAAATAACATTAGTAACAGTTTTTTATAATACCTAAATTTTAAAAAACGTTTCATCCCAGAGGAATAAACCAAAAGGAACAAAATATCATTCCATGAAATCTACTAGTCTATAATGTTGATGGTTTTAAGTTTCTTGCCTTTTAAAATCAATATAGGTTTTTTTTCTTAGATTTATTCAAATAATAAATCAATGAAATAAAGCAAACGTCCAGTAAGCAAAATTTTACGAAAATCTCTAAGGGTAAAGGATCAATCAGGACGATGTTTACTCTACAAAGTATAAAGCACAACATAATATTAAAAAAAAAACACAGCATACTTAATTTTACAAATATCAATACGTCCCAAATTTAAAGAAACAATCGATACATTGTTTAAAAAAAACATACACAGCTTTTCTGTACATACCTACAAACACATACATAGTGTCCTACTTAGTTCACAAGTGGCGTAAGTCCAAATTGAAGATTATTCAGGGGAGACAAATTGAAATTTGGGACTTGTCAAAAGCGGCCAGGAGAAAGTTGTGAAATGTTGCTCTTATTACAACTATTAAGATACAAGGTGTAAACGTGCTAGTGTTCCAGCTTGCCTCAAACCGAAATCAAAAAATAATGTTAACAGTTTTTTTTAATAATACCTAACTTTAAAAAAAAGTTTCATCCCATAGGAATAAACCAAAAGCAACAAAAACATTTCATTTCAAAATCATATCATTCGATGAAATCAACCAGTCAATAATGTTGATATTTTTACGTTTCTTGCCTTTTCAAATGCATATAGGTTTTGTTCTTAAATTTACTTAAATAATAAATAAAATTTAAAAAACGTCCAGTAAGCCAAATTTTAAGAAATCTACAAAAGGTTAGAGAAACAATCAGTAACAACATAAGATTTAAAAAAAAAACTTTCTGTAAATATATCTAAAAATACATACATACCTAGTTTAACTTAATTAATTAAGGTTTTTAGTTGAGATAAAAAAGTCAGTTGCCACGAGCGGGATTCGAACCCACGATCTTCGGCTAGATATGCCACTGCTCTACCACTTGAGTGACTTCGATTCGGACACTAACTTCCCATCTCAACCCCACTTTTTGAATTTTCCCTCGTTTTTGACATTTTTCAAATGCTGTATAATCTATTTGATTCTCGGCGACAAATGAAATGGCCACGGAGAGCTTTTAGTGAAATATACTTTATTTTAACTTATTAAATTCACTAATTTTCGTGGTCCGCTTGCCCAGTTAACATCTTTCAATTAATTAAGGTTTTTAGTTGAAAGATATTAATTGGTCAAGCGGACCACGAAAATTAGTGAATTTTTTAACTTAATACTGAAGTGGTGAAGATCAAAATGAAGATTACTCAAGGGAGACGACTTGAAATTTGGGACTTGCCCAAAAGAAGTCATGATAAAGTTGTAAAATGTAGCCGGTATTATAACTATTAAAATCTTTTACTAGGTGTCACTCAGTAGCGTTCGACCTGGTTTTCTAAAAAATTACACAACCAAAAAGTAATTAAAAGAATTTTTTTAATACGGGCTTTACTTGCAAAAATAGCTTTTTCATCTTATTGGAATAACCCAGAATCAACAAAATTTCATTAAACGAAATCTGGCACATCAACCAGTCATTAATGACATCCGTAATCGCGAGAAATCTGTTGTTATTTATTTTTTGCTTTATAAAATTACACTTTTTTAAAATTAAATTTATCTGAAAAAAAGTTTAAAATGCTTTTTTTTCCGGAAATGGTAAGCTTAATTTTAATCCGCAGATTCGATTTTCTGACAAATGGCGAAACCCAGTTAGGGAAATGGACATACGCCACTATTATTTTTTGGATACCAGACTAGCTTCTTTCGAAACATTTGAGGGACATCAAAATTAGTTTTGAGGTCGATTAACCGTTTTTTTCATGATCACGTTGCGATGGGGATTATGAATTTTATTTAGTCGTTATAGATCATCAAAGTTGGTTTTGTAACAAACCTTCAAGGTTAAAACCTTATGAGTAAGGACGATACATATACTAGTGTTTTCTGATGTTCAACAAACAGGTTTTAGTTTTAACATAAGTTATACTTTCCAAAATTGGAATAAATACAGTATTTGTTATTAAAGTTATTGAAAAAAATGTATGCAACGTTTTAAATTAAAACTTACCTAAAAAAAATGTTTTATTCATTTATTTTTGAGGAGTTTTAAGCAATACCAGGTTTTAAGGACACTGGTACGTTGACGTCTTGTATGTTTTAATCTTCAAAATGATTAAATTTCAAAATCATGTTTGTAACAAAGTCCATTTCGATGTCGCATTTGAATCGAGCTGGACCTGCACTACTTGGTCAAAAGACGTACTTTTTAAAAAATAACTTTACTGTTTTAAAAAAATATTACAGTTATGTTAGCAAAGGAGGCATTATTTTGCAGATAAAGCAGCATAACTTATAAGGATCTTACATGAGGTTAACTGTTTTCTAACAGAATGAACAGTGGCCTAATATTTTGTTACTAGTACTGTGTGGACTATTTGTGTACGATTTGAGCATAAAGAAGGCAGGAAACGTTCATGACAGTATAAAATACAGATCCTGATGATGGATCGACAACATTATTGATTGGTTGCTATGTCAGATTTCGGCGAATTAGGTTAATTTTTAGTTTATTTTACTATAGACAGATCAATAATTATTTTATTGGGTCTGTTCTCGCAGGTGGTAGATTAGTTTAAGACGTGTTAAACCCACTCGAATAAGAACCAACACCACCAAATTATACGCCTTTATTGTATTGAAGAAAAACTAAGATAACGACGAAAAAACTTTTTTGTTTTATATTGGGGGAAAGAAATGGCAAGCCGGTTGGAATACTTTTCACCCTGGGATGACATATATCCCAAAAAATCCCCGATTGTAAATTCCTCCTTTTTTGTTCCAGGTGTTTCCACGGGTTGATATAAAGCCCCAAAGGGCCACAACCTATTTTACACCTCGCTATTATAGAGGAAGAATGGACTCACAACTTCCGGGTCGGTCTGAATTGTCTTTACTTAAAAGAACGATAGGAGAAAAGCAAGGGGTGGGATTTGACGTCTCGGCATCCTAAACCCCGATTCATAATCCTCGCCTCCCACATCCGCTCGGGAGTTCGACAAGGTTTAGGTGGAAAATTTCGTACAATTTATTAACTGTTATTAGCCGTTGCACCATCCGCATCTTGGAAATCAGCAATGAATTGGAATGTTTCAAATTTTATTTTCCTCGTTGAGGTCGATACTACAATGATTATGATTAGAAAAAGGGAAATATTTTTAAATGTTTTTTATTTGATGTTTTACCTTCAAATTGTTTGCAATAAAACTGCACTGGAAAATACCGTCCAGGAGGATTTTCTCTGAAGTCTAATTTAGTCTGAGAGATGATGAGCCTATAATTTGTTCGTTTATTCAGCCTAGTTTCATTCTTTTTGGTCTGTCGCATTTCGACCTCCCCAATTTCAGTACTGGGTCTGTGCATATATTATATGTATCAAATACATATATGTTGATTGCGCAATTGAAGGTAATATGTGCGCTGGGGCCGATCGGCTGAGGAGCTCTCATGTATGAAGAACTCTGTCGATAAGTCCTCCCGTGGAAGGTCTGAACCCTGGAAGATTAAAAATAGACCTTGCGAGGTTGAGACACGGTCCACTTTTGGCCAAAGCCCGTATAAATATCCAGCATGTAAAGAAAGGTTGCTCGATGTGCTGAGACACATTTTAATTGGAGGGTGCCATTCCTTGACTCCATAACGTGTATGTCACCTCTTATTAGAATTTAGAATGATTCAATTTTTGGGTCTCCTATTCCGATTTTAGATTAATTATATTATGCAGGGTGGGGGACCAAGACCCTTAAATGCCTGGGTAGACTCGTACCCCATCCCTAAAATGTCTGGGACTTGATCGGCTCACGATTCGATTTTAGAGGAAACATAGCTATTTCATTTTCACACTTTATATAAATATATCTTCTTGTGTTTCTGTGTGGATATTGAGAGGGAATGTATTTATTAGTGTGAAAGTGAGGTGTGAGAGGGCATCCGATAAGCTGTTTTATTAATGGTTCGGGATTTCATCTGTACCCAGCAAATTTTATCTTATTTTAACTGCTTCAAAGCTTCATCAAAACTAGTTGGTTTATAATGCGTCACATCTCTTTCTTAGAGGTTAAGATAGCTAATGTCATAAAACTAATAGACCCTCTCTTAGATTAGATCGAGTTCTCCACCAATCTAATTGATTAAATGGTCGGTAAATAGGAAAGAATGTATTTAATGGTTAGATTTTAAAAATGATGCATTTGGGGCCATAATGGCCTGGCTGTTGGCAGCCCCAGGAGCCTAACTTCGGAGGCGGTTTAGATA